GGGTTGTAGTAGTAGATAACTTGAGAGAAAGAATAATACTTTTCTCTCCGGCATTAAAAAGGACATTGAATTCCTGGAGCAGAGTTGGGCTAACAGAAAATCAGGAAATTAATTTTCAGTGTGTCCTGCTTCTAAATCAGAAGTGAAAACCTTGCCATTTATATTTGAATCCGTTCCACAGACGTATTTTATTTAGACTTTATAGTGTTTTAAAAAAAAATAAGCCCTTTAAAAAAAGTCAGGTTATTTCTTACACACACACACACAGAGAGAGAGAGAGAGAGAGAGAGAGAGAGAGAGAGAGAGAGAAATCCAGATTTCTGGCTTTCCTTGAAAAATCAGGCTACCTGGCTACATGGGGCCCTAAATCCCACAGGCCAACAACCAACTGGCTGACTTTCCCCATGTACGGTACCTAGTGAGGCAGAGTGGTACCACGGTTAGTGGGCCATTTGTTTGGAGGTTACAACAGAAAGCGTTTTGCACATCATGCACGCGTGACACGTGCCAGCTATTATCATTAGCATTAGGACATTCATACCATCATCAACATGATAATTATCTACCAACTCTGCATAGATCTGCGACTGAGGACCCCGGAAATGAGTATTGTAGCACCTTTCTCCCTCCTTTGCCAACAGAACCCTCTGCAACAAAGCGAGTGCTTTATATCTGTGCTTTTCAATACAATAGCTGTCAATCAGAAGCGGCTATTGAACACTGGAAATGGAGACGGTGCAGTTAGGGAACTGAATTTTAAGTGTATTGAACTTTAATGAATTTCAATTTAACCAGCCTGTGTGGCCGTGGCCCCGTGCTGGACAGCACAGCTCAGTAACTTCACTCAAGCACACCTTCTCCCCCGCTCTCCCCATATCAAGCTCACTTTCTGGCTCTGAAACTAATTTTTGTTCTGTTGAGAGTAGCTGGCAATATGTGAAAAAGGTTATCTCTCCAAGGGTAATCTGCCAATTTTGTATGATCAAGATGACATTTAAAAATATGAGTCCCTTGCATTGTCTTCCCCACCCTATCCCCACAATCTAGGGCAGCGCCTCAAATCTCACACTGTGTGTTTTTAACAAGCACTTCTAGGTGATCCTTACAATCAGGTAAATTTAATAAATTCTACCAAAGGAATGATGTTCAAAGAGGGAAAGAAAGAGGAGTCAGCATGTATTGTACAATGCTGGGCATTTCTGAACATATGCAAGCCCCCACCGTACCTTCCACTCTCCTGTCCCCAGTCAGCTGACACACCTCAAGCACCTATTGTCACATCCACTGCTTCTTATATGCCTCTCAGCAGGAGCTCGGCCCTCCGGTGTGTCATTCAGAGTCAACACGTTTTAGGTGTGAACCAGTTCTGTTCTCTTATGATGACCGATACCCTAACTCACAGACATCAGCCCCCGTAGCAATGTCTGCACCACCGGACCCTGAATTGCTCTCTCTCACTGTGTGAGTCATGGCGGAACTCTGGCCCTGCTGTGCAATCATCTTTGCGCTCCTGAGACTATGAATATGGAGTCTGAAAAGGATCATTTATTTGCGCCTGATGGTAGAGTCAGGTGATACAAACTGGTGGTGAGGCTTTGCCATGCTTAGTCACAGCTCCATGACAGGTTCTGTAAAGCCGATCCTCAGAAAAAGAGAACAAGGAAGCAAAGGCCAGAAGCAGAGAGGAGTCTCATGGGCGAGGGTGGGTAGAGGAAGGACTCTAACCTCCGAGGGCTTTCCAGGGCGAACATCTACTGAGGAAAGTGCTGCGGGGTGGACCTTACTAGGTGACAGCACTGAGGGGAAGCTACAGACAGACATACACAAACCCAGTCTGTCACATCTGCTCCACAGCTAAACTCTCACTGCTTTCTGGGGAATTCATCAAGAGCTGCAAGTTGGTCCCTCGAGGACCCAGGACAAACTCGTCTGCCACCTTCCACTTCATCAATTTACTCCAAAAACCTGCCGTACAAGTTCAGTTGTTCCCAGCTTGACTTAATTTTTCTCTCCTCTCTGTCTTACAAATCCTATTTACCTCACTGTCTCATGTGCGAATGAACAATTAGCATGTAAAATAATGAAATGGGCTGCAAAAGAGCTCCCTGCCCATCTCTGGGATATTCCACAGCACCGGTGAGTAGCCTGTCCCCGCGCTCCTGACAGCCTGAGCATGTTCCTGTCACAGCGGCCAAACGGCCAACGGTTCCTCAGAGACATACGCCCAGGTGTGCAAGGAAGAAGAATGAGAATCCTTGTCTTAGAACAGCGACTGTCAACTGTGCTGTGCGCCTGACAAGGCTTTAAAAGGTGCAGACCCCTGGGCCACACACCCGGGGGTCTCCATCCATACTATCGGGCTGGGACAGATTTGACAAACTGGCCTTTTTAATGGGATTTCTGAAGCTGGTGGTCCAAGAATTTTAATTTGAAAAAAACACTGTCCTAGAGGAAATAAATTCAGATAATAATAAAGGTAGTTGGGGTGCACACGTGTGCGTGTGCGTGTTTGTGTGTGTGTGTGTGGGATGACACATGATTTTTTTTAAACATCGCAAGGCATTTCTGATAACCCCAAGGTTACTTCTTCCCCTTATTGTTTTGTAGTAATTGATTTCCTGCCAGTTATGCCTGGTAGCCTAGGCCAGGCTTTTAGATGAGGGGGAATAGCTGGGTTTCGGGGTGTCTTCGGTCAAGCAAAGAGACATGCACACATGCTCAACAACAGAAGGCCAAGTGTGAGCAAATGAGGCGAGGGCTGGCTCTGGAACAAGCTGCAAAGAGGTGACTGAAAGCCCAGGAGATAATTCAGGACTTGATTTAAACAATTACCAACAATTTGCACATAATCAACTTTCAGAACCAGTGGGCTGTGACAGGGTTTCTCAAACTCAGCAGTATTGCCATCCTGGGCTGGATAATGCTTTGGTTTGGGGTAGGCGTGGGCCGTCCTGTGCGTTGTAGAATGATTAGTGGCATCCCTGGTCTCTACCCACGACATGCCAGCAGCTCCTCCATCCCCTAGATGTGACGATCAGAAATTTTTCCAGACACTGCCAACTGTCCCCGCGGGAGAAAACGGCCCCAGGGTTGAGAACCGGTGGTATAAGATGCGGGGGTGGGGGGGTGCAGGAGGCAGGGCCCCGTCTTGTGCTCCCTTTGTCAGTTCCATTTTGTCTAAAACTTTCTTTCACGGTAAAAGCAAAACTATATAAGCAGATGTGGTAGCAATAAAGCTTCCCATTTATGAAGACAAGGTTTTAGTGCACTTCTGGGGAAGCTTCTTTCCTCAGAATTTGGCTGTGGTATTTTAAAATTTTTATAAATCCAGTTACTGTCAAACAGGCTCGTGTACAGCTGGATAAACAAACTCAAGGAAGATTCAGCCACATCTTCATTAGCACCTCGGCAGGCAAAGTCCCTGTCATCTTGAGATGTGGTGTGTTCCAAACAATTGCAGAAAGAGTACTTCCAGATTCTACTGTCTGCTTTAAAACTCCGTCCTTTGTCTCTATTATTGGCGTGGCCTATTGCTGCTGCCCGTTGTGCAATAAAATTGGCAGCTTAAGTTTCGCGTTTGTTTCCGTACAATCACAGCTGCTGCCTCCCCTCACTCTGGGGCAAACGCTAGTTCTAACGGTGCTCACGGATCTCTGTACTATACGTCTCACCTTGGTAATGGTTCATGGAATCTGCTGCTGAGCACCCACAGCCAAAACCACACCAAGGAAGGGCTTCGCTAAGGGAGGCATTACAGTCACCCCCAGATGCAAACACCAGCCCACTGCACAAGCCCACACACTGGACACCTGTGCACGGTCAGGTGCTGAACGCACAGCGATTGGCTGTTGGGGGGTCTTTGCCTCAATTATTAAGAGTCTGCCAGAGTGACAGATCATGGACAGGTTTCAGTAGAGGGACTTTATGTATTATAGTATCTTGGCTTCTTTTATTCCTTGCACTTTATCTCTCCATAAGGCAATGTAGTATTTACCTTATGTTCTAAGGCTCAGAACTTGAAACGATCTATCTTAAGACATAAAACTCTTGCAGAAATCCTCCTTAAAATGCTGGCTGACTTTCCAGTCTGGTGTCCCTTGAATTAAGTCACCCCAAGACATAGCTCCCGCCACCGACTGTGCGGTAACAAGCACCTCGGCATGGTTGGGAGTAAGTGACCCTCTGATTCAGCTCTTTAGATCACTACGCTTTTTTCCTCTTGGGCCACAAAATAGGTGACAATTCCTGTTAGCATTCAGCACACACTCAACATGAAGTGCCAGGTTCTGGGCTAGTTGTTGAAGAATTAAGAAAAAAATAAAAGAAAAGGAAGGAAGGAAGGAAGGAAGGAAGGAAGGAAGGAAGGAGGAAGGAAGGAAGGGAAGGAGGGAGGAAGGAAAGAGGAAGGAAAGAGGAAGGGAGGAAGGAAGTCAGGCTCCTGCCTTGGGACTCTTATCTAGAAAGCATCATCTCTGTTGTCAGTAGCATGGCTGGTGGTTTGGTTGAAAGATGTTCAAATAAAGAAAACAGATTTCCATAAGTGCTTTGAAATCACAAGTAAAATCTCATATAGATTTAAGATCTTTTTATATAGCGGGAAATCCCCAGAGCGATAGGCTGTACTGTTCCTTCGCTTATATTAAAATAAGATACTGCTCCAGGATTCTGAATTCAGCAGCTGTTGGTATATGTGTCTCTTGCCGCACTCATAAAGGTTTTTAATGTACAATAACATGACATAGAGCTCATCCCTTCCATGGTGGGATGCATTATTTATATCTAACTAACTTTGCACCATCTTCAAGTGTGGAAGGAGCCATAATTGGAGCAATCCTTTTTTTAGTTCACAGGAAACAAGGCTCTTCATTTTTCACAGTGCCGTTTACCTTCCACCCTTTCTGACAATAATTAGAATTGTTCAGCTGTGGCTCCTGTTTTATTTCAATGCACTCACAACAGGCAGACAGTGCTATTCAAAGTGCATGAGCCTGAAAGCTTACCTGAAAACGTTGAGAGGTGAGCTGTATCCCACAGCTTCGGGGCAGAGGCATGGGGCTTAACCACAAGCCACGATGTCTGTACCTGCATTTGTTCATCTGTAAAGTGAACATGATCACATTGATGTTAATACATTTGGGGGAAAAAAAAGGATTGCATGGAAGTGAAAATATTTGCCTAGCAGATGTCCGTGCTCACAATAATCTTCTTGATTCACCTTCCTCGGCGGCACGAGGCACTTAGGATCTACAGAATAACAGTCCCACCCACACATGTTCCTCTGAGTAACAGGTCTGCCTGTTTAGTCACTCTGTTTACTCATGTTAATTCCTAGGCATTTTTCAAAGCTCCTCCTTGCAGAAAATTATAGGAATCTCTGCAGTTAGGCCCCTCTTTCCCTTAACTCGACTCTCTCCCACAAACAAGGCTGGAAGCCATGGGCCATCTTCCTCCATCGTGGCCCCCGGAGGGGGACAATCTAGACATGTGCAGGAAGTTCTGTCTGTGGAGTTCAGAGGAGGACCCTTGTTTCAGGGGTAACCTCGTTTCAGGGGGAACCTCGTTTCAAACACAGATACAGCACTTACAAAGGGCTTGTGGTGTGAGGGAGCTTTGAATAGAGCCCAGGTGTGAGCCAGGTGAAATGGTGAGCATAAAACAAATGAGCTAAGGACGGAATATAGATACAAATCAGAGTGCTGGAGTAATTCATGTGGCCAGGGACACCTAGGAGGTATTTACAGCAGAATTTAAGCATCTGAGCTAAGAGTAGGAGAATTAAGAGAATTTCAAGAGTCAGAACAATTTCAAATTGTAAGTGGGGGTGGCTGGGCAAAAGGTGCTCTATGCAGTAAAGAATGGGATAAGCACAGTTACGGAAGTGCCAAAGTAAAAGAAAACCTGGCCTTTTGGATGGGGGTAGGGTTCCCAAGGGGACAACATATAGGAGTGAGGAGGAGGTAGAGGCCACTTTTCACCTCCAAGGTACATTATTTTAAATTAATTCTCTTAGCAATGGTCTATGGCTTGGTTTTACCAGGAAGCGATCTAAGCAAGCCACTCATTTTTACCATTAAATGGGTATTTTTACCATACCCCACCATGCCTCCATTTTACCAAAATGCAATGGCGTCGGAAACTGGAGGCATCACCAATCTCCAGCTGGGGGTGGACTTGTTCATTTACAACGCTTCATATGTCACTGTGTTCCTATTATTTGTGATAGTTGAGGTTAGACCTCCACCTCATGCAGAAGTATGATCTCAGATATCTGTGGGTTCAATAGGTTGAGGACGACAGCATTCCCAGCTGCTCCAGGGTGCCCAAAGCCTGGGGTGGCAGCATGTGTCACAGTAGCTGCCACACTGTGCTCTCCTGCCGTGGGTCTTCCCTGAACTCCACTTTCCTTTTTTTAAAAATTAATTCATTTATTTTTTAAATAAGAACGAGGTGCTTTCCACGGTTTGCCCCAAACCGTCCCATATTTATACCGCCGGAGAAAGTATTTCAATCAATAAAGCTCCTAAGTCTTTTTTCGTTTTCTCCTGACCTTTAGCATCCGTGCTCCCGAATGCATTCTCCTATTCCTCTGGTTTACTGACTTTGCTTTTCTAAATGACAGGAACCTCCGCCAGACTGCCTCTCATCCTGCCCTCCTCCGCCCCCCATCTTCCTGAAGGGGGATTCCCGGCTTCCCACGGCCTCATCCCGCCTGCTCCGGCTTTCCCCGTTTGTGATCAAGCCCAGGACCCTCTGCGTCTCCCTCCCATACCCATCCCCGCCACGGCGGTCCTCCCCCCATAACCAAAAAGTAAAGAGCAGGACTCGGGGCCGGTGGGCGAGGTCTTCAGACACTCACACTCCCAGAGGTCCCCCTCCTGGGGGTCTGCTCGTCCGGGAGCGCGCGACCGCCGCGGCAGCCGGGAACAAGCGCGCCCGACACCCTTCTCGTTAGGATCCGGGGGCGCTCGGCTCCGCTTGGCCCCGCCCCCTTCTGGTTCCCGCCCCGCCCCCC